GGATCCGCTTGCCCCGGCCCGACGACGAATGCTAGATTTATTTTCGTGCGCTTACGATAGCCGCGATACCGACGTCCCTAGCGTTATTTTAAAGCTCGTGGTCCATTTGCCGTATGCACGACAAGACGCGCACGAGGCATGTCTGGATTATGGGGCGCAGATTTCCGGATTCGTCAACATTTTTATTGCTAATTGGTAATCCGACGCGTGCTTCCGTCGCTCGTTGATAGTCAGGTGTCGCGATCGCAATTCCCGGCGACTTTCAGCGACTTTTACTTGCCTAGTAAACATCGACGGATGCTAATTAGACGATTGACGCTAAATGATGGTAAATCCATGGTGACTTTGCTCAATTGTGCCTGCGTAGTTTATAAACGTGCTATAACGATCCGGTACAATAGGCTAATTCACAATTATTAAATTATATTTCGTCATTTAATTATCAGTAGATACAATGTTCACTTTCATTCTATAAAACGTTCATCGATGAGGAATACCAATTCGCGGAACATCCACGAAGTTTAACGAATGCTTCAATTATTCTTACATCATTTAAAATGATAATTATTATTCGTGCTTTTCTTGAATTTGACATTTTCTTGGCATTTACTTTTGTTAAAATTTTATAAATAGTAAGAACCATTACGTATGTTATTTTTAATATTTTTTTACTTTTTTTTTCGTCTTCCATCTTTCCAATTAGAATTGAATATCAAACATGTTATTATTATAATGGAAGAAATGCTATTACAATGGTCACAGGTAAAATGAATGTGAAAATAATTGCATGGAAAATTGTTATGTAATTTTAATATGGCATGATTCCGTGAAAGCCAACGAGTCGCAAAAAAATTAATGAAAAAATCAATAACATTAGAATAAATATGTTTGAAATAACAATGGGAACAATAATAATAGCCTAATAATAATAATAATAATAATAATAATAATAATAATAATAATAATAATAATAATAATAATAATAATAATAATAGTAATAATTTTTAAATGAAATATGTCCAAGATATTAACAAGTATATAAATGAATTATAAATGAAATAATTCGTTATTAAAAGCTTTAAAACCCTGATATAACAATTGTTTCGCATGCATAGAAAATTATAACTTTTAAAACCTTAAGATGTTTTATGTAACATGAGATGAATACATCAAATAATTTATAATATAGATAGTGGTATATTAAAATTTTTTATTAAATATTGAATCATAATTTAAGTATAGAAACATTTCTCAATATTAATTATTGAATATATATATATATATATATATATATATATATATATATATACATGTTCTTATAAATGCTTATGAATATAAAATTGATAAGAATAGAGGTACAGAAGCATTTATTGCTATGTACTATCAATTCACTTTATTTTATTTAATAATTAGTTTTTCAGATTTATTACTTGCGATAATTTATTGTTTTACGTCGACTAGATAATTGGTTAATTTCAATTTGTTTAATATTAACCTTATTTAAATTTTAGTACTTGTATTTTCACTATCTCTTTTTCACTCCTCGCTTAAATTATCATTCGATACTATTTAAAAAGATTTTACAAATTGAAATATTATAATTATTTTTATTTACAATAATTGCCTTCATTTACTATTAAAAATCATCATCTTTAATAAAAACATGTTTTTTGGCACAAATATTTGTTTAAATTACTTCGTTCGTTTGATTAGAAAATTCATAATTGTTAAATTAAAAACTTTTATAAATTAATAATTAATATTGTTTTTAATGAGATACGCATAAGCTTGTTTTCTAGGAAACCTTTTTTCATTTTAATCTCCGAATTTTTAATGCTTTGATATTTTAATATTTTTATACTATTGTGATTTCTTATGCATTTAGTTTGTAAAATATTCGAATGGTTATAAAAGAAATAATTGGTGAACTTATTGAATTTTTCCATACGGCAAAATATACATTTATGTAATTTACCTAAATAAAACTAATTTTATTTATTATAATGCCAAATTATATGAGAATCTTTGTAACGATTTGTTATTAAAATCTTGAAAATAATAAGTAATATAATAGCATAAGGTAATTTTAAATAAGAGAGAGCTTTTACCATATGCACTACTTAAAGCTGTCTAAATATATAGTGAAAGTATTAGTATTCATAGTTTGAGACGCGTGTGGCTAAGTGAATTAATTCTATACACGGTAGAAATAATATTAATGCGAAGATTAGTAGTTAAGGAGGGGTTATTGGGGTTTAGGGAGTCGTAGGTGAAATTCAATGCCGTGGCAAAACGGTTACATCCCTCAAAGATTTACATATACTTTTAATGAAACGGTGTAGAGTTCCTCTTTTATTACAGAATATGTACATTAAATTATATTGGGCTTTGTTTTGTAATACTATGTCTCACGACGATTGGGTCTAATTCACGTGGTCGTTCTCTTTGTCATTAGTTAATAAAATAAAGCAATAGAATTTTATCGTTCCCTATAATTTCGATGGAAATTCAATAATTACGTAACATCATGCTCAATGTTATTGAGTGCTGGCATGCATTTATTATGCCTGTAACGACAAAGAATGTGGGTGTGAGCTAATTTTTTTTTTATTATTTCAACTAAATGTTTTGTTTCTAGTCTCCGTAATGATTAAGAAATCATAAATAATTTATAGAATTTTAACGGAACACTTATACTTGTAATATATTAAAGGTTATGCAGAAGTTCAAGTTATTAATTACAGTTATTTGTCATGTGACGATTTTTATAATTTTTATTTTTGTTTACGTTTTGTCGTGAGGAATAAAAAAAGATTACTATCTGTTTCCAGTTTAAACTAATAATGGTCAATATTTATGAAATATTTTATATTTCATATTATAAAAAGTTAAGAAAACGTTAGTAGTGTAAGGTAAAGATATCACTTATCGGAATTCAATTCGCTTACAGAATAATCGTTTTATTTATAAGAATTCTAATTGTGTAAATTATTCGCTATTATTAATAATAAATAAGTGAAATGCAATGTTCATTCCCTGTAATGATAAAATTTATATATAAAAAAAAAATAAATAAATAAATAAAAAAATAAAAAAATAGTTTAAACAAAATTGTAAAAAATGTACAAGATTTAAGAGTAAAGAATAAAAGTTAATATGTAAAAAATAATTACGTTAATTGAATAATAGTTTTTTTTGTCTCACGTGCGATTGTTAATAATTAAATTTCAGAAGATTTATCATTTTCAATTACGAATAAATGTTTTGAAAAAATAGTTTATTTATAATAATTATGAAGATGATTAGATAGATACAATTAATTGACAAATGGAGTTACAGGCAAAATCCCATTAATATTTATTTTCTTTAAGTAATTGCGTTTTACTTGTCTTTCATTAATTTGTACAATCAAAGTATCGTCATGAAGATGTAATAATAATAAAATAACAATAACAATGCGAAAACTACCAAGTAAACAAAGTAATGAAATTATAGCGATTTATATTTTAAATAGAAAATTTTTTATTAGCATATTGGGAATGCATTCGAAAACAGTAAAAATATTAAATTTGATTGATGCATTGAATCAATGTACTCGTTGCCAAAACAAAAAGAAAAGTCATCGTTAATTGAATCATCGAGTTATAATCAAAACAAGATTCGTTGATCATTAGAAAATTGAAACAATATTTCAAAAATTGTTAATTCTGATTTATTATTGTGTGAATGAAGATTACTTAATAAATTAATTTTTAACGAAAAGAAATTAAATAATATAAATAATCGCGTGTAATTACTACATTTTTATATTAATAAATCATTTAAGAGTTTGTAACGATATTATTGTAGCTCAAACAATATTGATTATGATTAAGGCAAGACGAAGATAAGACGAGATAAAAAAAAAAAGACTTGCGATTTATCGTAATATATCTATCGTGCAGCTGCTTTAAATGTTAAAAGCAAATGAACAATATGAATCCACGAATTATTATGCTTCAAATCGTAATAACCGAGGGCTAATTTAATGCCGATGAGTCGTCCGTTGCGTCCGATCCCTCTATCGATACTCCTCCAACCCGATGAATATTTTTCATTGGCTTCATCATGAAATGAGAACCACCTGAATTTCTATGCATTCTCCCTCTTCGAATAGAATTATTGTTGTGATAACGATGGTGTTTAAATTTTAATTTTAGGTATGGTTTCAAAATCGCAGAGCGAAATTTCGTCGCAACGAGAGAAGCTCGGCAATAAATCGTGGATCATCGATATCTCGGGAAATGGAGGCCAGCTTGCCTCTAAGACCCATTCGAATAAATCACGCACACGAGAGCAGCAGTCCTGAATCATTGCAGTCACCGCAAGTGAGTCAATATCCTTACGGGGACTATTGGAGATCTGCTCAGCATTACAGTACAGTACCGACAACATCCAGCTGCCATGGATTCGTCAATGGTGGCTTAGGCAACATGGGACTTCCTTCGTATCATCAGTCCGAGATCCATTCAAATATCGAGAGCTCATCGATCAACGGCTTAAGTGCACTAAGACTGCGGTCCCATCCTTATGGTTCGGCTTACTCCGCGATGCACGCTAGTATGTGATTTATCATAGCGGTGAAAGATGTTGGCCTTGTTAAAATAATAAATTAAATTTTAGTAGTCCTATCCAAAGATAAGATTGTGGCAGTGAATGATTTTCGTAATGCACCATGTAGGACATGGTAACAGATTCATTGAATCCCGTGTCTTCGCTATCAAGCAAAATTCTATTTTTAGGAAAGGAGCGCGTCGAGCCGATAAAAGGACAGCCTTAAAGAAAAGAAGAAGAACAACAACAACAACAACAACAACAACAACAACAACAAAACAATATATATATATATATATATATATATATATATAGATAAACTATAAGTGAAATTAAATAAAATTCAGAGGTACCAAAGATGAATGTTACAAGGATATTTTGATAATTTAAAAGTTATTCAACGTCTAGTTGTAAAATTTTATATTTTACGATCGTTAATTATGCCGAAGTTTTGTATTTCAATAATTAATAAACAGCTAATAAAATATAATAATATTAAACGAAAGTCTTGAACAAAACCAAAGTTCTGTGAGATTTTAAAGCAATTCATAACGGATTATAAACAGGGTAATGATTTTTGGCAATTAGTCACGGTTGAGTCTTGGAATAAAAAGTCTAATGAGAATATTATTTTTCGATGAAAATTCAGTATTTTTATAAATAAACATTCGTTGTACACTATTTTCTTAAAATATTCCAGGATATTCATCTCATGACTAATTATTAAGTAGGACAGATATTATAAATAAATAACAAAGTAATACTTATATATTGTTTAAGATTTTGTAGTTTAAGTGAAATTATACATAAGAGAACATTTTATTTTAAACAATTACAACAATATGTACATACGATTTTCATAAATGTAATATTTCATAGAAATGTATGTTTATCGTGACAGTTATAACAATAAATAGTTTGGCACATAGATACAATGTTATTAAAAAACTTGTAGTTTGGAATACTTTATGTATTCCATTTATAATAATACTGTTATATATTTTGTGAAATTTCTTGAATTTCTTAATAAATTATTTGAAAGGATTTCAATCATTTCACTCTATTTATAAATTTCATAATTGTAACCCTTATTATTTCAGAAATGTGATTTCTAAAAATTTTGAATAATTCAACTTCAACTTTAAACAGCTTTTATAGTTTTATGTTGTAAAACTTTGTATTTAAACTTTTTCTTATGCTACTTAAATGCAATAATTACTTAAGCTTAGTTATGTTTCAGTATTAAATATTAGTAATAATTTGTTATTGTAACAGTCGAAACAAACAGTCTATATACTGTTTTAAGGTAAATTGTATTTTTAACGATTTTTAACGAGTAAAAATATTAATTTATATTCCATTTAACGAATGCACCATTCTTTAGAATTATAATTTCCGTCCAATATTTTTTATATTTATAATTTCCTAATGAGATATTATTCTGAATGCTAATCTATGAAGATGTCAGCTATGTTGTGAAAAATTTACATAGCGAACCTATATTGTCGATTGGACATTTTGAACGGCATTGCTCCAATCAACTTTAGATGGTATAAGATAAAATGCTGGTGCAATTTTACTGCCGCATGGACATTGGCATCCGGATATCCAACTAAAGGACCCAAGTTTCGAAGCACACTTAGGACAATGGAGCTTACCATCTACTTTGTGCAAAATTTCAGGCATCCATGCTAAAGGTTCAATAAAGTAGGTCTTATTGCAGGGTTCAGAACTCATTTGCTCCTTTTCTTTATCCTCGGTCTCCACAGTTTTATCAATAATTTTATCCTGTTTTGGACTTTTATCATGACGCTTAGAACTAACGTGTCGCCAAATTTGTTGCTCTTTTGGTTTATGAGGTAAAATATTACTTGCATTGGCAACGATCCTACGACACTTTTTACATCGATACACAGTCGGCTCTGGATGAGTAGTAAGAAGCGCTGGATCCGCTTTAATGAGATCGATATAGTTTTGAGGTAAAATTTTAGCCTTTCTCACTTTATCCGCTGCAATTTGTAATCTATACATTTTAAATTGAATATTATTACAGTCCACCGTAAAATCCATATCTTCGTATAACTTAAGTTGAGCTACGAATCCAGCATTTGGACCTACGAAGCGCCGTTTCTGTTTCACAACCTCGAAAGCATTTGTAAAAGATAGATTATACTTTTTCATAATGAAAGCTATAACGATGGTTGCCGATCTTGAAACACCAAGATAGCAGTGCACCAGCACAGTGCCACCAAACTCTAATGCATATTTAATAAATTGGTTAGAATCTTCGAAGGAAGTTAATAGATCTTCTCTTGGCATATCTGTAATTTGAATGTATTTTAATTTTATATTTGGTAGAGCATCTTGTATTGTTCTAGGTAACGGACAAGAGTCGACAGTAACTATATGAGTAACTTTTGTACGTTTTAACCAATCTATATCTGTAGCGGCTGTCAAATTTCCCAAATATAAATTTGGCTCGATTTCATTAAAACTCGATGGACCAGCATCAAAATCTTCCCTTCTTAAACTTACATTTACATTCTCGGCCATGTTCATGGGCTCTAGAAAGATTCTTAATTTATTTTCAAAAAATAGTGTTCCTATAACATTCAAATAATTCTAACAATCATATTTATCTTCATACAAACCATTTGTTAAAGTTTTATAATGCAATATATTTCGTTTAAATTTTAATTATTTATTTTGTAAATGTAAGATAAATGTAATACATTACATTTACAATAAAGCTACTGATTCGGTTCAAACTTTTGTTTAAAGTTAAACGACCTCTTAATATTTATAAACATTTTTTTATACATATTCTTCTTATTATCAACTGTTGTATTATAACTAATGGCAATCAAAATTAATTACTAATCACGTTGTTTACTAGATAATTAAAGATGACGAGCTTAAAGGTATTTTTTGGAAATAAATTAGAAACATTATGCGAGGCAACTCGTCAAACTCCACACAGTAAATTTCATACCAAAACTTTTTTACATTTTTAATCCTTTCCTTCAATCACGAAATTTCAAAGTCATCTAGAGCTGTAACTAAGCCGTAAAGAAATCGTAGAAATTTGTAACACTAGCGGTACTTTCATGAACTTCAGATAATTTTGTAAAGCTAAGCGGAATTGTCGCCTATCTATGTGCCTCCGTAAATCAACGTTGACATTTATACAATAATACGACATTTCAGGCATTTTCACATTACAATTTTATTAATCTTATGATATAAGATTGGTAACGATAGATTCGATTAGGACGTTAGATTGAAAGTTAAGACGATGCAGCTAAGCGTTTAGGTAATAAATTAATTAATCAATCGTGGAAATATAATAACTTTTAACGCTTTTTAATGATTGAAATACTCCTCTATACGTATTAACGGATAAATCGTCCTAATGAACTATATCATAAAAAATTATTATTTGTAATTAGGATTTCGTACGAATTTCATACGGAGTAACGGTATTATAAACTCTAATTAAGTACGGAAGAAAGACGCGTAGTAGACTTCGTAGTAGAAGTTCAGCATGTGGCAAATGTCAACAGAAAATTGTCATTCCGTTCTGGATAATCGTTGAGATGGAAGTGGAAATAACTGATAAACTATAACGGCACTTCTAAGATCTATGAGAAAGCCTAGAAAACAGCTATTTATTTTACAATTTAATGAAATGTATAAAAATTATTATCCAATCAAATATAAAATTGTGTAATAAAATAGTTTTATAAATAAAAAATGGATTTGTGTTTGAAACAAAAGAAGAGGGAAATAAATACACGATCTTTATGAATTCGTGTAACAGTTATTTAGATGCAATCACTTAATATCAAATATAGTAGTCCGGCAATATACATAATTATGCAAGAATTATTTTATATAAATGAATGACTAACGTTAAACTATAGTCTATATTAATATGTAAATTCTTACACAGAGTATATATAGAATATTTAATGTAATAATAGCTTTATAATACTACAAAGTATTTAATAATTTTTTGCTCAGTACAATTTCATCCCCTTATCTTAGTAGATATAAATCTATTTACAATGACAATTCATGTAAATAATTATATTAATTTAAGATGTTGCAAAACATTTAGAAGACATTATATAAAGCACCCCAACATATTTTTCAATAATAAATATCACACTCCTTCTTGATAATATGATTTTCCATGTAACGGAAATCTCCAAATATTTTAATGATCTATCAATTGTTAATACATCTCAAATATGTGAAAATTGCATCAATTTCTTTCATTATTCACATAAATCATTTTGGGTGCTTTATAAATTATTAAAATTACCTTATACGTATTAATAAGATTATTAAATTATATACCCATACAACAAGAATAAAAATTATAAATATTATAAATTTATAATATTAATAGTGCTTTTAAGTGATTTACCGATTACATAATTATTCCGTGACTTTATTGTTAAATAATTAGTAACGTAGTTAAAAAAATCATTTCATTGTTCTTCAACATCCACGTACACCCACTTATCTTTAGTATATTTTTAGGAAATGATGAGATTTATTGTAAATGAAAAATTTATAAAAACATACGATGAATTTTATTTAACTTAATTAACGATTTGAGGAATAAAAAAAAAAAATGAAATTTAGTCTTTGATTGATTATTAATTTTTTATTGAAAATAAGCGATAAAATTTTTATAGATTTTTTATATAATATATGTCAGAAATAATATTTTCCTAATCGATCCTTTTGTTCGCGCGCACACCCACACAAATGCCCTCTCGCCCATAAATATATATACATTTAAATTAGCGTTGCGCGAAAGTAGCCATAGTATAAACAATTTTATTTGTTTAAAAAAATGTTAAAGAAATAGTTTTCATGCAAAAACTTTATTCAATTTTAAAATAAATGATAATTTACTCTTAATAAATTATAACTAAATTCGAATAAATAATAAATAAATTTTAACTTAATAATATAATGATAATTTCACATTAAATAATTTACTTAATAATAATAATAATTATATATATATATATATATATATATATATATATGGAAACAAGTATTTCATCTAAATATTTCATTCTCTTCAGTTTATTCATTTAATTAACTAGAGATCGTACGACCGAATATCGAAATTCTTTTTCAAATAATTTTCAAAATTTCAATACATAATATGTAATAGCGTTTGAAATTTATGCATCAACCAAATTAATTAGCGAAGCTCGTATTCGGTTGACAATAGGTAATATAATACACTTTACGTAAGATAATTGGCGATCCTTTGTTGAGAAAAACTATATTTTGAGATATACGTTTGATGTTATTTGTCTCGAGCGTTCATTTAATTTTAATTATTCTTTTTAATCAACAGTGAATATTAAATAATATTTAAACCATGGACAGACTTTGTTTCTATAAAGCGCATAAAATTGAATAATCATGCTCAATCATCGAACTACCTAATGATTATTTAATTACAATTAAATACTTTAATATTGACATTATAATGGAATAATTTTTTAAATTGTTAGAATGCCGTTAAAAATTACTCGCTCACAATAAGTATGATAAAACAATATGCAAATTATAAAATAACTTTATTACTATTTTTTGTTCAAGCTAATTGGATATAGTCTTTCCTAAATATAATAATGATGTGAATCAGTGTTCTCGTGCTTTGTCCGCTTGTCATTTGCAAGTGTAATGAAAAAATAATTCAAAAGCAAGGTTGATGCCTAAGACAGGATGCAAAGGATGCAAACTGTTTTCTGAGAACATCCCATTACTATTTCATGTCTTGAGTGGGAGTTGTAAGTGTAAGGTAGATGGGTACATAACGCGTAGGCCCCTTGCACATGGACACTTGAGTCAAGCAGTTGTGACTTGTGTTGCGAGCGCGTAACTCTACACCTTAAGCAGAGAAGGGTTTCCTTGTAGAAGACAAGGAAATAACAATAATAGGTATTGGGTATACAGATAGAACATTAAAAGTAATTTAGTTTTGAATAGACGCTCGCGAAAGGAACAATATCTTTTATATATTACTGTTCTTTCAGTGTAATTCGTAAAACTCTTTTATTGTTCTGCAGATCAACAACAATGTGAACGATCGAACGGGTTCGCTCTGACGATTGTCAGGACGTTAATTTATAATATGCCAAGCTTGATATTTTTCTAAAAACTGTAGCTTTTACTATTTATTATAACCTCAAAATGTACAAAGTGCTCTTTATACTTGTGTGCATAATTGTTCAGGACGTTTATGCATCATATTGTTACCCAGATTTTTGTCAAAATACAGTGAGTTTATCGATTATTCTTTATTATAGTGATGATTTATTTTTACGTCTTTTTATACTTGGACTGTAAATTATAAAGTACAAGTTACCATTTACTTGGGATAGCGACCTCTTATTTACTAATATACCGTAATTGCAATTGTTTTTCAGACGAATTTCATACCAGAATCTCAAGAACAATGTTTACTTCAACCAGTAAAAAGGGGAGAAGGTACGGCCTATTTGTTCGTTTACTACATTTTATTATAATAGTAATTTGAAATAAATTTTCTCATTAACTGTTTTTAGACTGCAAGGAGATGAGATTTGAGAATCTAGGGCATGTACCACCTTCTGGAAAAGCTTTAGCACAAGTGTCATTAACCGCATATGTTAAAGACTTGGAGGACATTAATGAAAAAGCTACTGCTTTTAATTTTTCTATTACTAATATTAATTTTGACAGTGAGTAGTTAGAATTTTTTATTTTCCATACAATGAATGCCTGATTTTTATATAATGTTTATTGCAGGACTGATTACTCGTTATCAAAATTTAGGGGACGAAGAGACTTCGTCTTGTCATCGTGTCAAATTTTACGGAAATGTAACTACCTATCCGTTAAAGGAATTTCATTTGTCTTGTCCCTTTTCTAATAATTCATTTGAAAATAACCCATACCGATTAGAATATCTTATTTCTGGAGATAATTATGAATACAGTAGAAAGCTTGTATTTATAGTTCCTAATCACAGATTCATTGGTTAGTCTTACATTATAAAATACAATTATTTATTATAATAAGCTATATCTATAAGTATATATGTTTATATATATATATATATATAAAAATGCTTATGTAATAGATCAAACTGTAAAGGATGTTGCTTTTTACACACCATTTATTTACATCGATGTTTCTGATGCCTCTATATTAACGTTATACATTCAACCTTTACCCCAACGGTTTAATGTATCTAAATACAGAGTTTGGATGATGAACAATGATACAAATAGTACAAAAGAAGTTACTCTTGAGAACTACAACATAAATCAAACGATACATCATAATTTTTCGGTCGATAATGGTGTGCTTTATTTTAAAGTTGCCGCTCTTCATCCCATATGTCATAAGTACGGTTGTATTAATAGTACATCACCTTTTATAAGTATAAGTAAGTATAGTAATTTTTTTAATAATTTACACGGATAATTTTCATTCTGCTTGTATAATGTAATTATTCGTTGCAGAGCAACCGTCGCACCGGTTACTTATTATGATAATAAGTTTTATTTGGATACCTCCTGTGATATTATACGTTATATATCATACTTATAAATTGTATAAGAAAAAAGGTAAGATTGAAAAACTGCGTTTTATGCAAGTAATTTTAATAGTTACACAATATATAATGTAATAATAACTTTGATAAACACATGATAATTGTATTTTTCACAGAAATATTAAAGAGAGCCGAAAGAAAACCAAAATGCCTTTTGGTTTATTCGCCATCGCATATGGCTCATGTTAATGTAATGATTGACTTGGCACGTTACTTACGATATTGCAACATTAATGCAATGATCGATACTTTGGATATTGCCGAAAGTACAAATAAAGTATGAATTGTAACACATAAGACTTCGTCTACAAACTTAATTTGAATAAATTTATCATAAAAAATAATAATACATTTACAGGATCCAGTTCTTTGGTGTAACGAATCATTCCACTCTGCGGATGCAATAATAATAGCGACATCGCCACAGACCGATGAAATTGCTCCAGTTATTTATCGTAATATTGATAACCAAGCGCTGCGTTTACTTAAAGAAAATTACCCGCGTCGTAATAAAAGATATTATGCTCTTCAATTCCCGTATTGCAAAGCAAACGACATTCCGAAAGAAGCGCGGCAATTTAAGCGTTTCACGATGCCCGAAGAATTAGATAAATTAGTAAAAACAGTTCACGAAGTCGAATATATACGTTTCTTTGGAGTGTCCGATAAAGATTTTGTTGATTCCATTAAATTGGCCAAATTACAGATTGTTAAGACTGAAAGAAATTTCCAAGCTGTAGAAGAAAATGGTAAATTACTTGTAATTTAAATTTTCTCATTTTTCACACATTTTTATTTGTGATATTTTTAATTTCAGTAGATTACTAATATTAGCATTTATATTTTAAAGACAATTAATTTTAATTAATATTGCCGCAAGTTAGATACTTTTGAATTGAAATTAAATTTACAATATAAAATTTTTAAATAAAATTTTATTTAATATGGCGCATAAATATTTTAGGTACAATTTTATAATAATTATGAAAAGGATAATTTTATTTTTAGAAGATCTTCTCCTACCAGATTTACAATTAAAAACAAGAAACTCAGAAATTCTTCAACTAAAAGAAGTAGATATGAAAAATACCGATAGTTCAATGAATTCGACTGTATTAAAAAATTTTAATACAAATATCGAAGAATTGAATTTACTTGGCGACGCTACAGACGGCAACGTTCAAACATTTTGTTTCAATTCAACAAACAGAGATTCTGAATTTCGTATTGATACTTTCAATTTGTAAACTTTTAATACCGCACAGTTTGTAAAACTGCTTTTATAATATTTTTTATTTTTATATATTAAATGAATATATATATATACTAATTTTTAAGAATAAACTATTTATTTACATAACATAAGTAATGATTTATAATAATTATTATTTAATATAACATTTACTTAATATTACAAATATCAGGGTTTTAATTCTTCAATTTTCTTGACAATATATTTGCAAATTTGCCCTAGAATAAAATGTAGTAAAAAGAGAATAATTTTTATTTTTTATATTACTACATTATGAAAATTATATAGAATGATGATTATTAGGTGAAATTAATTTATAGGGACTTTTAATTATTGAACAGTTAATCTATTTTCTTAATTACATAATTAATATTTTGATCTTCATTCAAAATAAACAATTTTAAGTAGTGTAATAATATTCATAAAACTAGCCTTGGAAATTTATAAAAAAATTATCTTTTATATTATGAAACCTAATTGAGATTATAATTATTAAATTAAAATTTACTTTTATTATGGTTTAAACGATTACATCATTCTTTATATTCCATTTATAAAATTACTATTTTATAAATATAATCTTTTCAAACTGTCAAATCTCATTAGTTCTTTGTACATAGTTATACAATTAATTATGAGTCCTCAATATTTAAATTAAAAATATCTTCATCTGCTTTTAAAATAATTTCGAACGTCATCAAATTCATACATTTTATTCAATTGTTAAACATTCATGGTTCTGTGTTTGTATAACTATTTCAGGATGTTAAGCGATGCAATGATTGAATCCATTCGCCACTGGTCACTAGTCCCTTATTTCTTTTGAGTTTATTTTTAATGTTTTGAATCATTGAATGCTATTCAGCCATAGAGGAGGATCCATTGACATCAATTAACATTTATTATGCGAGGTTTTATAAACTCATTATCAATTTCATTATGTCAATTCATGAATATATATTTTACATTTTTAACACCTTGTGCAATACAATGAACGAACCCAATTGTGTTGGCCAAATGTTTTTCTTTATTAAAGTTCATATTATATCTCTAAGATCAGCTGGAGGTCATTTTATTTCATTATTTTGCAACATGTGAATGAAATAATTGTAAATGTTTTTTCATATTTACCCAAAATTGCTGATCTTTTAAGTCGTATTTTCTCTTTGTAATCTAGTTTTAAATGGCATACTAATTATGTGAAAGGCATACTATCTTTTTCATTAATACCTCTATTATTACATAATCATTAATTTACAGCATAAATTGCTTCATTTAATTCTTTACGTATGCAATTAATACCATCTGTTATGTGCATATAATCTGATGACATTCCGACTGAACAAATTATAATTATAGATTATTATGAATAATGCAATAATGTTCAGAATCATGAATTATAAACTTCTTATTTACAAAGCATTATTTTTTACTAATAATTAAAATTATTATTCAAATTGTTTTTGCATTTATGATTCAACGTCTATGTTTTGAGATAATTCAAAGCATAAGTGATATAATGAAGGAATCGATACAATTATAACTAAGTTTATAAAAAACTGGTGTTTTAATTACTTTTTATTGAAAGTAATCAGCTAGATAGTCTGCATGCTTATAATGTATATATGTATATGTGGTAAAAATTTTACATCGCAATAAAATATTTAACAAATACCTTAATAAAATTTGATGACAAAATAATAATAAATTTAATTACCTACTAATTCCTACATATTTTTAAAAGTAACTTATTTTTTTATTTTTTTTTCATATAATCTATGACGATAATATAAAAAAATATGTAGTTTAAAGAATTACAATTTAAGAACTTTTGTTTACTTTTATATAAAAAATTGCCACTTTGTTAATCTCATGTTATAAATCTATATATACGCGTTACTTTAATTAACGTCATTAAAGCAATTTTCATCAAAGTAATCCAAACTTTTTATAATATAATTTTTTTAAATAGAATAATAATAATTTGTCGAAGTATTGTAATATGATATCTTTTTTTATATAAAAACAAAAATAAAGTCAAAAATAATATTATTAGATTTAATTATCAACTAGGAGTGATTTAAAAATAACTCAGTGTGTATAAAAAAAAAAACTTGATAATGTAATTTTTACGATTTTTTCATTTGTAACAAATATAAAAACTTTTATCTTGAAATATAAATAAAAAAGTAACATTATTAAAAATAAGTTTTTGAAAAAATTTCGTCGGTTTATTATGTAACTGATTTATTTGAAGCTATTTGTACTTAAATCAAACGACATATAATATTAGTTAATATTTAAATTAATAAAATTATGTAACGTAGTAATTTTCTGATTTAACTAGCAATACATTTGTTTAAAGACAAATTAATTTACAATACCAAATATGTGTAAAAATATAAATATAAAAAATATATATTGAATCTACACATGTGGGGCTACATTTCAAATTATTTCAAGATCATTCATTCATTCATTCATTTTTATTTATTATTATTTGCATGATTCCTTGTTTGATAATTTCTCAATACATAAATAGAATTAATTGCCATATCTGTTGTTTTATTAGTGAAGAATTAAAAATATAAATTTTTAAATAATATAATTTTTGAAAATTCATTCACCTTTAAGAAAAAAGCAACAAAAAAAAAAAAAGGTAAAAAATTAATTAGCCCAGGTTGAAATTTGATATACAATAGAAATTACTATTACACTTTAGCGTATTGAAAGTTTATTCAGCTTTTAATATGACACAATTATTGTTCTATCGATATGATAATTTAAATTTACTGATTTTAAAAAGTAAGGGTTTGGTTGAAAAAATTTTGGAATCACGATTGAATTAGAAAGGAATTAATCGAAATGCATTTTAAAGAGACGCTATATACATTTTTTCTTCAATGTAATATCTTTAAAGTAAATTTTAAATAATATAAAAGGATCTTTCAGTTGAAAACTTAGACATTAAAAATTACTTTTTAACTCATTTAAGAAGAATAACAATAAACTAAACATCGAATAACGTCGAAATAAAAGAATTTGAAAAATTTTGTCTTATACGCCGTAGATTTGTTAAATTATTGGTGGATTTTTGAGAATTTCTCTATATTGATTAATTCTTTTTCTTTTTATTCAATTACATATGTAAATAATAGCAAAATAGAAATAATAGGTTTTCATTGTGTAAAAATTTATTGTTATTGAAAGCCACATTCTTGTATTTTTTAAATTAATTACATACGATATTCAAATATATAATACAGAAAATATCGTTTGTACTTCTATTGTAATTCGACTTTTGTTCGTAATTTACGAAAGAATACGTTGAGTATTTGCTTTCTCAGTGAAGTTATAGAAGTAATTTTTATATCGTTTAATTTCACTAGCATTATGTACGATTAATAAAATATCGAAGCATACATTACAATAATTTATAGTGATTTGTCTAAAATAAAATGTCTGCCTTTTTATAAAAATTGTTTCAAATTAATAATTTTAGAATGAAACTTCGATTTGCTATAAACCTTGGTCAATATATAATTTTTTGTAAGTATCAAAACATGTTTGTACTTCCACCATTAAATAAGTAATTTAAGATTAAAATTTTGATCTATCATTACTGTTAGAATACTAAAAAAATAGAAGATTTTTGTTCTTCAGGTGCTCAATATTTCAATACATTAGCCTTGGTCGGTGTGAATGTCACAGATACGGTGGAAAGAAGATTTAGTTTTGTCGCTTGTATTACGAATCGTGTTGATATAGACATTATATTGGATCGAGATCTTATTTGTACGGGAACACTCATTACTAGAAGTGATATTCTGTCAGCTGAACATTGTTTAATTAATAAGACATTGAACAGTTTTCAAGTAGTCGTTGGATCTCTTATATTAATCCAGGCTAAAATACATTATCCATTGAAAGTGATAACGTTTCAACAGTGGGCCGAACAAAGGCAAAAACCAATTGAATTTGAAGAAAATGACATTGCTATTATAAAGGTGACTCGACTTACTTGAATAATTTTCTTTCAAAAGTTATGACACATATTTCTTCATTTTTTAAAATATTCATATTCAAATTCATTTGCAACTTTTACGTAAAATTTTGTGTTTTTTTGTTTGTTTTTGTTTTAGTTGACACAGGAAGTATCGAGACAGATCAAGCCAGCAAGTATTTCATATAAATCGGATAATAAATTATATGGAGCAGATGTTACGATGGCAGGTTGGGGTATGTCAAAAACGTTTCCATTTTCGTCAAACCTCAAAGTGGTTGAAGTAAAAGTTTTAACAAAAGATGTCTGTGAAGCCAAAATTAGCAGTTTAAATCAGCAAAATCTATTTTTAGAGCCACGGCTCCTTTGTACTTTTCGATTTCCATTTGCATTACTGCAATTTGTAAGTATTGAGCTTTTAGAAGTAATCTAACGTAATTCAGAGAATATTGCATGTTTTACTTTTATATTCCTTTTCTATTCTTTAAACGCTTGAATTTTGTCTTGAAAGACAACGTATTATATACAATTCATTTAAATAATTAATAATTAATATCAAATATTATAGTTTTCTCTTAATATAAATTAGAATGTAAGTTAATAAAAGATTTATCAGGTTAATGGAAAAAAAAAAGAAAGAAAAAAAAATGATTAAACAGAATTAAAATGTAATCTAAAATAGTTTTTTTGATTAATAATAAAATATAAATTTTTAATTCTTAATATAAATTAAATAATAATATTTTTAAAATTCTAAGAAAAAGATGGATACATTTTTATGAGAACATAATATACTTTTTTTTTTACATACGTAACGTAAATTTGACAGAGGGTTTTTTTTTTTTTTTTTTTTTTTTTATTTCAGTTCTATCATAATTTTTAATTATAATAAATGTGTTTTTGCATGTAAGAAATAATGCACCAAAAGGAATGCAATAATTTTAAGGTTTTCTCATACTTATATTAGAACAACAGACATTAAAAAATACTATCTTTTCTGCTTATAGTCGGTTAATCTATAACTAATCAGTGATCGTATAAAAATCAATGTTATTTCATTTATATATATAATATTGTTTTTAGGGTGACAGTGGTGGTCCGCTGTTATATAAAGGAAAAGTGGTCGCTATTAATAAAGGAACGGCTCCATTGCCGGAAGTGAATATTCATCCGCAAAAAGTGAACATCCATTTTAATCTTCAATTTTATGAAAAATTTATTTCAGATGTCAAAAAATAAGATATATAATTTGATTATGTTACAAAGAATACAATATTCCTAAATTGTAATGAATCACAGCTATTTTCAGTGCATATATTTCAATTAAGTGATGACTTTTATTATAAATCCTATAGAACTACATTCTTATACGTTAGACTTTAAAAAAAAATGTATTTATAAAATTAATTCTATATATATAAATTTATTACGACGATAGAATTACTTACACATACGTGCCTGTGCGCGCGCGTGTGTGTTTTATTAAAGATTTGGTATATTATAATGTTAGTGCGGTAGGTATGTAATAGGTAGGTATTCAGTGGATAACAATTTATATAATATTTATTATATTTGGTATTACAATAGTAAACTTTTCTATAAATGAATTGATTTAATAATGACTGTTATTTATAATATATTTTGACTTATGAAACTTTATTCTAATATGTTAATTTTTTGGATTCATCATTAGTGATATTATCATCGTTTTACCACTATATCGATTTTAATTAATTTCCTTATTTTCTTTGATCTTCTATTTACATAATTTGACTATTTATTTGAAGATAATTTGATTTAAATGTGTCATGCAAAGAAGTGAGAATGCTTCGTTGAAAAATAAATATTTGATTTAATGAAAAAATTTTATATAACTATATAAAAATATAACAATTTCGATAGATCTTGAATTAATATCATCTCATCAAATAATTTCATGCGATGTTCAACGAACGAAATCATTTTGTTCAGTCGCTACATTCACAAATTTCATTATTTAAATAAATGGTAATTGTATATCTGAATTCTTACGGCTTTCAAAACGCCTCTTAAGAATTTTATTTTATATTTCAATATTTATATTTCATAATTATTTATAAATATATCTCTTATGTGAATGGTCATTCATTCTATTTAAATTTATTTATATATATTTATGTACAATAATCCGGATTTAATTTATGTAGGGATGCTTAAAATGATAAGACAATTCATTTTCATAAATGAGTTATTTTAATATATTAACAAAAATACAATAAATTTTGCACAAAAAAAAAACATACAAAATATTCGTTAAAAATTATTTCCAACAACTTTGGTTTATTTTGCTACATATTTATTTAAAACAATCTTATTGAGCTATACCAGATACATATTATGCACAAAAATCTAAACGAACTATTTTCTGTACGAAAGTAATATAATTAAACACAGCAAATGTATATATTTACAAATCATCACAGAAATAATTATTTTTTATAAAATGTTATAAAATATACAATGATTAGCTTTTTTGTGACTACATAATAATGAAGTTTTTTTTTTCAATTATAAACCTCATATATTTTTAATCGACTTATACAAGTTATTTAACTTTTTACACGATGAAATTACAAAATATAACGAATTTAATAATATTTCGTTTTAAAATTGCTAAGTAGTTTTTTGTTACAAGATTATAAGTCAAATAAGTGTATTTATCGACACTTCGTAATATAATAATATATGACGTTTTTATTAAAATATTTATTATTTATTAAATATACTGCCTATAATATTTTAATTTAAATTATTCATTGATTTAACCTATCTAAACTAAAAATAAATTTTACTACGCAAATTACAGTTAGAAATTATGTTAAAATGCATCTTTATTTCTGGTCCATTTTTCATTAACTATTGCTTTTTTTATTATTTTCAATTTGCCTCCTTAATATTATTTTTAATATTTACAAATATAACGTCTACAATTTAATATTCAATCAATTAAATTTATTTTACAAAAGTTATTATTTTAAATAATTACTGTTTAATTATAATTGAATATATTTAAACGTTTCTACGAATATTTGATACGTAGAAAAAATCTATGAAAAAAGCACAAGGATAATTATAATAATAGTAATAATTCGTCATGAAGGATTAAAACTGATAATTCGAGATATCAATGTAATTTAATCATAAATAAATTTTATATCACACATTATTGATATAAATGGAAAATGCTCCTTTATAAATTTTTATTTTTTATTTCTATTAATTAATATTCAAATTAACGACAATTAAATTAATTCCTTTAAAATGAATCTAATTTTTGTGCTATTTTAAAAATGTAATAAATGTTTGTATTTAAAATAAACTGCTACGTACATTAAACATTATTAAGAACATAATATTATACATTATAAGTAAAATATTCGATCGAAAACATCTATTATAAAATAATAAATTAAAAACTATTAGAGTAATAAAAATGAGATTTTTAATTATTATAAAATAATTTTCAATAAAATAAATATTTTTTTTTCCATTACTCATGTAATTTACATTATATTTCTAATCTATGCTTTTATGAAAATAGCATTATTTCTAATCAAAGAATTATTAAATAATATTATTATTGGTAAAATTAGTTATTGATATTTATGAAAGTCATAAATAATTGAAAATTTCCTTTTCGAAATACTCTAATTCATTAAGTAAGAAAATAAAATTTGCACCTATTATATGTAATAAAGAGCTTATACATTAAAACGAAATTCAAAATTATTGTAATTACTTATATCTATTTAAAAATTGGGAATAATTGGAGTATACGGAAAATCTATTGTATCACTTTATAAATTGAATAAGATTGTTTATTAATCTTATTATTGATTCTATTATAAAATTCATCCACGTATTTGATTATTATAAGGCAGTGTAAGAAAAATGAAAATTGAAAATAGATTCAAATAGTTGATATAAAACTTGAATAAATCACTAAAAAATAGTTTTATTATCCGTCAAATCGTATTTAACATTTATAGTTTTTAAATATTTCTTGTAAAAAATTTAAATAATAAATATATATATATATATATATATATATATATATATATACGTGTCTGTGTCTGTGTGTGTGTGTGTGTGCGCGCGCGTGCGCGCGTGCATACGCGAATGTATGTAATTTTTTAAAATTACGACTAAAATATATGTAATAAGAAAAATAAAGTAAAAAAATGATATGACCATTAAAGTTTACCTTGAAGTAATTTTGTGTAAATTTTGTGTAAATTTGCAAATATCAGTTTATGTAATAAACACCTATTACTTATTAGAAAATAGAAGAATTATTAATGTCATTTATGATAGAAATTTCGAGAGATTATTAAAAAATTCACTTTTGGTAAAAATGATTTTTTATCTCAAATGTAATGAGAGAATTTTAAAGTTATAAATCCATTTCGTTCAATTTATATAGCAAATAATTTCAAAATTAAATTAATTTTTATTTAAGAGTTTGGAAGTACATGGATTTTCATTGTGTATGTATAGCAATAAAAAATTTATTATGTACTTCCAAAGTATGTGATTTGTTAAAAAAGTCGTTTATCAATGTCAATGGTAGTTCAACTTAATAAGTTACTGAAATATTTCGATACCTTGTGCTTTTTAACGATAATTGCAGAATAATCTAAGTACATTGCAAATTATTTATTGTATAAAGCTAAAATATGCCTTATTTAATTATGACATTTTTATTGTTTCAATAAACGGAATAATTATTTATCAATATTCATATAGAATATTATTTATTCACTTGGATGTTCCAACTCACGATATCGAAAAGTGAACATATTTATTATTATAAAACATTGTATATACTTTATGCGTAGATGTGAGCGATATTTATTTATGAAAAACTGGATCATTGCTCTCACATTATATATACGAATGAGTTTTTAAATAGTTATTTATTTAATATCATAATTTATTGACATTTGCTTTAAAAGTTGCCTTACGAAAACTTTTCTCAAGCGCCTAATTTAGCGGTACGTATGATTTTGATGAAATATTCTTGTTACAATTAATCATTGCTTTCACTAAATGTAAATAATAAAAACATCTCTACCGGTGAGATTCGGTTGTTTTTTTCGTTAAAAAAATAATTATTGTGTGTGTGCATTAATCAATAAATTATTAGAAAGTATATTAAATTAATGATTACCTTTTAAAGCAGAGATTATGAGTTTCCCGTAATTCCCACAATAATATTAACGAGATCAAAGTGAGATCAAATTAAGCGTTATAATGTTTTTTAAGCTTGATTTGAGATTGGATTATTTTATTTGAAAGGTAACGTTCTTGTAACGTTTCCAATATCCATTTATCTCTTGAACTCTCGATCTCAACGGATTGTAACAGAATTCTACCGCTGACTGTTTGTCAAAAGAGATCGCCCATATGCAATATGTTATCTTTAAATCATACAGATGCCGACTATGCCATTTAACGTTAATAATTTCTGTAATACATAGTTAAGGTGCGATGGATCTTGGGAAATTAATTACGACGAGCAAACCAATGGAAAGAGCCCCCCAAACCGCTACGAGACGCTCCCCTGCATTGTGCACGTGAATAATCTGTGATCGTCGCCGCCTCGCGTAATTCAGAGATCGAAGCCAATGACGGGTTCGTCGGCGGAGCTGCCGAAGGAGAGGAGCAGGTCCTCGGGCTCCTTCTCCGCGTTCTTGTAAACGATCCCAGCCTGCATGTCGATGTAGGACTGGGGCCGGGCGGAGCTCATAGACGGCTCGAGCTCGTTCTCGCTGCTGCTGGTGACGCTCGCGTTGCGTAACTTAATCGGGCTCTCGTAGTGCCCGGTCACCTGCTGCTCGTTGACGTAGATCGTACGCGCCTTGGCGAGGCCCTCCGGGTAGGTGCTCGGCTCGTGCCAGAGCGCCTCGAGCTTGTCCACCTTGTCGGACTTGCTCATGAGTTCGAAGGACGGCCTGCTCAGGTAATTGACGGCGTCCGTCCGCTGCTGGGAGTTCACCAGGGCATAGCTTATGACGTTCTTCGGCGAGTCAACGCTCGAGGCTTCAACGTGATCGAAGAAGAAGCAAAAAATAGAATTTCTTAAGCGTTTAGTGCGTTGGAGGAGACAGGCTAGATATAGTTTATGGATGTAGTACTGGTAAGTGACGCGACGCTTTCATCGGTGCAATATGACAATTGGCATTAAACTTATACTAAAATAGTAAAACTTTTTTAGTTTTAATTTTACTTTCAATTTTTCATTAAATCTCAATAATAATTTCTGTTTTTGTTTATTATACGTTACGGAAAGCATTCAATTTTATAAGAATTATTTAACTTTTATGCGCGTGATTTAAATTTCTTTTTAAATAAATAAATAATTAATTAATGAATAAAAGAAACGTATGGTTCAGTTATTAAATCTTATGAAAACTTAAAATCAACTATCACGTCTTAATGTACTATAGATAAATAAAAGTCTACGACATCATTGTAATTAGAGCAACATTTTCATTAAATATTCTTTCAAGTTTAACGCGTATTACGTAATTATTTGTATTATTTGATTAATTTATGAGCATCTCGAACGCCGATAAAAATTAATGGTTACGTAAATATTTTAACATCGCAAATCGTGCAAAATACAAAATCATTATCAGCAATCTGTACAATGTGTCGGAGTAAAAAATTAGTATTTTATTTTTATTCCGATTGTTAACTTTAGTGTAAACTCCAATAAGCTCGAGTCTCTCATTGATTATAATTGCAAATAATGCAAAACGCTCCAAGTTACGTATTTTGAAGACCTTGTCATGTTAAATAAAAATAAACATGCAAGGGATTAACTGTTGCGATGTTACGAAACAAACATAAAAGCTTACTAGATTCTATTTAAAATATAATATGATATGAAGACAAAACGATTTATTCAAGATGTATCTTTAATTCTTTTAAGCTCTCTAAAATTATGCAATTTTATTATATAATTAACACACGAAGATTTATATATATAATAAAAATGTTGACATTATGAGAAAATTTAGATTAAATATAATTAATTATTTATTGAATCAAACGATTAATTTTTTAAATGATTCCTACCAAAATTAAGTTAAATCTGTTGCTCTTAAAGTACAGAAGTTATAGTTTTTTTATTTATTTATTTATTCACAACGGTATTAATCAGACTTTTATAAAATATATATTTACATCGTATAATAATCAAATAATTGAAAACAAAACATTCGGTCTTACGTTTCAAATATGTATTTGAAAATATTTTGAATATATTTTCCTTATACTTCTTATAGTAGTTGCTCCTATGCATTTTTTTTTTTTTTTTTTTTTTTTAATTAAATATTAGAAATTTTATTTACAAATTAAAAATTTGAATTATATCAATTAACAACTGTGGAAAATCATATAATTAGTTTAGAAACGTAGCTTATAATATTAATTCATTAATATGTTATAATTGCTCTTAATGTAAGTGGCTTTATCGATCTTAATTATTTCAAACTGATTAATTAGTTTTGATATTTTATCTGCTATATTTATCAAATAAATTCTCGATAAAGAGAGAAAAAATAAATACAAAAATGCAGAAAAGGTGCATTTGTTCGGTAATTAATTCGAAGAAAACTCATTAACAATCTTATTAATGATAAGTATTATTTTTCATTATAAAAACCAAAAAAATCTATTTTTTATATTATTTTATCATTAGTCGTTGAATTTCTGCTCGACTCTAAGGACAAATTTACTTAACTATATAAGAGTAGAATTTTTAAATTTACATTTACCGTACCGTTTTCGTTTTGTCTTTTGTTTTCCATTTATTTTCATCCGCATACGAATAACTAAGTATTGAGCATCGGAATGTTTTTAATACAGCTAAAGGACATATTGTTCAATCGCTAATGATAATAATAACTGATATTTGATCCAGTTTACTTACTGGGACTGTCCAAAGCATGCAGTGACGTGAAGTAGGCTTGATTATGTACGGTTCGTGGGTTCAGGTCGAGATACTCGACGGCATCCTCGAGCATTCGTTCCCAATGACAAATAAGCTCCTTAAATGATGGCCTCATTCCAGCCTCCTCGTGCCAACACGAGACCATGAGCTTATACCTGACAACAACATAAACAAAATAACAAAAAGAAAAAGAAAAAAGAAAAAAGTATCTCGTATAAATATTTCTTTAAATTTAATAAGACGCGGAATATGCTCGGTTATGCTTTCATAATAATTCAACGAAATGATACTAAACGAACATAAAAGTATAATATGAAATCGAGACATTTTTATTTGTAATGTAATTCCTAGAGTTTTGACGTGACATTGATTGGAAAATCATTTGTTATAACGAAATATATAGCTACACGTGATAAAATAACTAAAAAGAACGAAAACGAATACTCAATGTCCAATTTTTTTTCTTTTGTTTTTTTTTTTCAATAAAATATTTAGACACAGGATATTTTCATAAATTTATAAACAATTTTGATCAAACGTCATTTTTTTTTTTCTTACAAATAATATAGCGAGGTAACAAAGCGTACTGTGAAATTCAATTTATTATCTTACATTATTATTATGGATGATATACGACAAAATGTCTTTAAATTATTAATGATTTATTAATTATCAATTGATAATGAATTTTCTTCTTACTATAATTATTATATTATAGAACTATGAAGTGTTTATTTTGTTAAACTTTACTACTCCATTAAAATATCCCGAGAGAATTACTTTAAATTTAAAAGTTAATAGCACAGCGTCTCACATCCGACGTTCACAATGCACAATAGCAGTATGTATAAAATTGTTTATCTTTTTTTAATTTCAGATATTATGAAATACAAAACCACGTTAAAACTTCATCCAAATACGTTGTCTTAATCTCGCCTTTAGAAGAATAAATAAAAGAAAACAATGCCGAGCGTTAAAGGAAAATGAGTGGAGTACAAAGCGGCAAATCAAAAGTAACACGCATTTACATAAATAATGCGTAGATTGTGCGTAATCGAGCATAAAATGTTTAAATAAAAACCTTCCAACGGGTTGTGCAATCCAACTTACAGCTGGTACGAGCAATTAGCCGGCTTCTCCATACGATATCCCGCTTTTAGAAGATTGTAAAGGTTGTGAACGTCAACGCCAGGATAAGGCGAAGCGCCAAGAGTCACCAGCTCCCAGAGGAGTACACCGAAGCTCCAGACGTCGGATTTGCTCGTGTACACGTGATCGGCCAATGACTCAGGTGCCATCCATTTAACCGGCACTGCGCATTAAATTGTCGTAATTTTTTTAAAAGGAAGTTCTACCCAGTTTTCTACTATCGCTCAGCTTGTAAAATCATATTATAAAACATTTTGATACTTAGTCGATAATTTTACCTCTTAATGGGTCGTTTCTCTTTTATTTTAACCTCTTTACGTTTAAACTTTATTCTAACCGACTTAATAATATTCTGAGAAATTTACTTAGTTTTCTAATAACTAATTACACCCTTGACGTTATAATCCATTGAAAATCTACATTTCACTATTCCATTCTCTTTGTTAAATACATTTTTTTTTTTTTTTAAACTTTTTTTTAAACTAATCGTATTGGAAGACCCATTGCAAAAATAATGCTAACATTTATTAGCAAGGAAGCCGAATTACCAATGTCACGATAACATAAAAGTTATTGAATATATTCCAAAATCCATTATTTACTATTACTCTAAATTGATCATATAATTGTAAATTATTAACTATGTTAATCAAGAATAACATCAAAATGGTTAAAATAACAATTAACGATTCCATGAAATTTTGAATGCACAATAAATAATTTGACGTAGTTAAATATATGTAAATGCAAAATTATTAATGGGCAATACCTCGTCCTTTGCTGCGCTTTAAATAAGCATCATCTTCGTACACGTCGCGCGTTAAGCCAAAATCTGATATTTTACAGACTTTTCCAGCTGCGAGCAGTACATTCCTCGCTGCCAAATCTCGATGTACCAACTATTAATAACGTCATATTGGAATTTACATATATTGAACGACATAATAATAATAATAATAATAATAATAATAATAATAATAATAATAATAATAATAATAATTTCTGTTGTATATCGCTTCATAGGGTATGAATAGGCGCAAAAATTACCATTTCATCATTAAATTATTAATATTTAATACAAGAAAAAAATATCGCATGATCTTATTATATAAATTTATCAACTTATTCAATTGAAGCAAAATTCTTTTCTTGAATTTCATTGGAATATTAAAAAAAAAAAAATCTTTACATTACATTGTAAAAGTTATGCTGAAACGTATAATCTCTTATCGTTTGTAATATTTCCATCTTTATTTTTATTTTATTTTTTTTCTTTAATATAATTATAAGTTTTCATTCTATTTAATATAATTAAAAGCTTTAAAATCCGAATTTTATGCGAATCATTGTTTTGCATGCAAATATTATTCAAATCAATTAAACCATTTGAAAATCTTCTCAACAATTTCTCTGATCGTGACAATTTAATTTTTTTCGGCACTAGCTAAGCTGGCCAGATAATTTAAGAAATTTAGACAAACAGTGGTAAGCATTGATTTGAATAAAGCCATTATCAAATTAACTCTTCTTTGTTCTTCTTCAAGAATATTACCTTAATATCCGCTAGGTAGGCCATTCCTTTGCTAATTTGCCAAGCGAAAGAAAGAATATCTCTCGGTGTAATTGTATAATTTACGATGGGATCGATACATTGTTGATCCAAAGGTTTTATATTGCTTGGTGATGAAGATAAAAGTAACGTCGAGCATGGCACTCTACCTTCAGATTCTAAATGTCGGCTCCTTCGTAAGTAATTTCTAAACAAAGCCAATGTGCTTGTGTGATTTATGTTGACGATACGTTATCGATAAAAATTGAGAAAGGGATTCCTCTGGTTTATTGTCATTATACAAATAACCAGGATTACATGAAAAATATTTCTTGTAGATATTTTTAGCATCTATATCTCATCCCTACTCTATGTTTATTGGAAAAAAAAAAAAAAAAAAAAAAACGAATTTTGAATAAGATATAATAATTGAAATAATAATGTAGCGAAATTAGATTCTTTAGATTCTGTATAACTCGAGTATGATTTGCCACTGTTAGCATACCAAGGACAGTTAGATTTAGTATTCGCTGTGACAGTGTATCTCGTGTATTACTTCCCTCCGCCTCTCCGACCGGCCTCTACCCCCCCCTCCCCCTCCCCCGCCCC